TGTAATCAAGTTTCAGACATTCCCATAACACTCTTCATGTTAAAAATCAGAGCTCTGTATATGTCAGACCCTGTGTGTTTGGACACTTGTAGTCCACTAGAATATTCCAACACTGTGAGAAGCAAAATGTATAGTGTAGGATTAGAATGGGTAAAAACTTGCCATTGATAATTTCTTTCCTTCTTTCGAGTCAACTTGAATCTAGTTGCTTTGCTTAATACAACTTCCACACAGGAACTTTTAGTAATTAGTAAGCTCATTAAGACAAATTCTTTATTTTATGTGGATTGTTCCCAAGAGGAAAAAAAAATCTGAGTCACCTGAAAGCCTCATCTCCTCCTCCTTACCAAAACAAAGTGAGTCAAAACAAACCAAACCCCCCAAACAAACAGACAGACGATGAAATTTTGTTGCACTAGTGTTTTAACGAGGTTTGCTGGGGGAGGGAGGAATAAATGTTGGTTTTGAATAGAAGTCAGGTGTTCAAAAGACTTATTCGCACTGAACAGTATCCTCAATAGGGACTAGTATAGGTAGAGTCCCCAAATAAATTAGTACTATTCCTTTTCAGACTAAAAATAAAACATTTTAAATATATTGTTTATACCTTCATCAGAATGCAGGTTTTATCTCCGGCCTATAGTTTCTAAGGATCTCTATTGGGGCTGAATTTACCATCATCTCAGAACAAAACAATGAAAGGTGAAATTTTGCATATTAGGATGTTCATAGTGACCACATAAAGTAAATTTAAAAAAATTCACACACTGTTAGCCAAACATTTCAACTTTTTCTCACAATTTGAAACAAGATAATTAAAAACCCCATCAGTTTCCTGTTAGGAATATGTTTTTCCTCGTTAAAATCAGATGTGATTGTGCCTTTTGGGATCTTAAAAGAAAGACTGACTTGTGGGGGGCCATGGGTGTGAAAGTAATCAGATACAAACACGAACATGCTCAGTGAAAATCACAATCATATCATGCCACAGACTAAGCCAAACTCTACACTGATTTCAGGCTAGAGTGTGGCTTAAAAATCTCTGGTATGCTATAGGACTTGCATGAATCTGAACAGTCATATCCATTGTTCACTGACTTTGCTTTTCTTCATCTGTGCTACTGTCTGGGGGTAAGTGCATTCAGAAGTGCATTTAAAGTCTATGAATTTTTGTGGCATTTTGACTCTTACTCTCCACTGACAGAAGATTTGTTTGCTGTTTTCTGAGTGACAAAAAGTTGAAAAGTTATGACTAGTTGTATTTCTACTTTAATAACCATACCTATATAATTGTCATTTTCATACATTAAAAAAATATTTATGCTTTCTTTTATGTTTTAGTCAAGTACTTTCTTAAACAAAACAATAGCACCACTTTGGCATTGTTGGCCAAATCAGTAACAGGAAAAACAAGTATGTGTTCACTTCTCTGAGATTGTCATCTCTTACACTTGGCTTGTAAAATGGGGAGCTAAGAAGACTCAGTGCTTGGCCTGAAGTCTTCATTGGTTGACTTTAACCATTGATACTGAGTGAACAACCAGCTCATGGGGCACCTGAACATAGCTACGAGTTGTGTGTGAAACTCATTCCTATAAAGAAAGGCTACCACAAATTTACCCTTTAGTCTTACAAAAGGGATTGACACTCTGAACTGCCTTGGGGAAAAGGTGCCTATTTTTAATGTATCTACAAGAACTGGACTGACTACAATATCCCCTAGTTCAATTTTCTTTCCTCTCTTGTATGAATGGTACAAATGAGCCTTATCCAAGTCTTTCACAGAAGTCTAAGTGTAGGTTTGTCAGCACGTTTTGACTAGAACTATGAATTTTCCATTTAAACACTTCATGATGAATTATATTTACGATGGAGATGAGGCTCAAATTTTGCTACCTTGATGAAAGAGATCTATCAATTTCAGTGGGTTTAGATCTGCAGTGCTTTTCTGAACTGACTGGAAATAATGAGGCTTAATTAACATTGTTACTTCTGCATTTCAGTGGCATTATGAGTAATAATTGGAATTTAAAGTCTATTCTACTATGCAAAAATCCATGACCTCTGTCATGTGCCTTACATGTTAGGGAAGACTGGGGAATGGGCTTTTCTCTACTGTTTGAATGATTTATGATAGTCAATGACATCCAGTGGGAGCCTTGCTCCTAAATATTCGGAGCACTTTGGAAAATCCAGCTGAACCTTTCAGTTTCTCTAATTAGAAGTTTTTTCGAGTCAGACTGCTTCGTACATTTGGGAGGGAGGTGTTTTGGCTCCTGCTTCAACTTCTTTAAGCAGCAGATTTATTGAGATTATTAAGCTAATACAGCCCTTTTTCTTTTGTGCTGGCTGTATATCATGTGCTCCCTGCCATGTGACTGGAGATTCATTATACAAGTTTGCATTTCCCATCCCTGCATTTCTCACCTCTGCAGGTCTGAACTGCTTCCCATTTTATTATACTGTTTATTCACTAGTAACCCAAAGTGTTGCCTTTGAAGTTCATAGCTATTCATTATTTCAGTTTCTTTCAAGGATTATTAGAATTTGTTTAGACAGTTGTCAAGTTCTGATGTTAGCTATTGCTGCCTCTGACTGACATTTTCTAGTTGTGATTCCTCTACAGGATAAAAATGGTGGCATGAATGTGAGGATGAGAATCCCAAGATAACACCGAAAATCTGAATTAATTCACAGGACTTAGTGCAAAATGTTGTATGATTATTCAGTAACGTTAACAGTGCATTGGTGAAAAAATTATCTGTAAAGAAATTTGCCACCACAAATTGCTTTGTGTACTCACACCTTCCTTCTCTCCTCCCATTAGCATGTCAGAGGAGATAGGGGACAGAAAGGGTCATGGGACACAAAATGGAAATATGTATCATGTCTCTGACAACAAAATAACATCTTATTCTTAGACTGTGTTTCAGGATCCTTCCAGTTTCAAACTAAAAGTGCTTCCCTCTCCATCCCCCCTGCCAAAAAAAGGTCTGCAGGAGCTATGACAGGTATCAGAATTGCTAACTGTTTATTGAATGGGTGTTAAATAATTTAGGTTACTTTCCACATCTGTTTCTCTTTACTTCCTTCCTTTTTCAACATAACTATCTCAGTCAGTGACAGCTGTGACATATTCCTTTTATTCATTTACTGTTCTACTTTTACATTGCTATGGCAGCTGATTGTGCATGTAAACATCTCACAGAAAGCGAAGGGTGTAAGGGATTGCATAGGAAATACATTGCACTTGTTAAAAACACAAACCACAAATTTGCTATGGGAATAAGAAAGGAACTATAATAATTTGTTAGACTTTTAAGACCTACCTTTCCTGCCTGTTTCTCAAGGAACTATTGAGGAACTGCACATTTGCAGTCTGTAGAGAACCTTCTCTTACATTTGAATCAATAGTTCAGTTATCTACTCGCATGCATGGAGTAGAAAGTAAGGCAGATTTGAACCTTTAAATAAAATGCATGGAGTAGAAAGTAAGGCAGATTTGAACCTTTAAATAAAAAGAGATACTTACTTTATATATCTAATCTAACATCTCCTTAACTTCTCCCTTCATACATTATTCTCCAGGCCCTCCAGCTCTCGTGGCTGACCAAGAGGTACTTCATCCCTTGCCTGAGCCTACCATGAAGGACCTGAGTGGAACCAGGTTGGATCCTTTGGTCTGAGTGGAGCAGTGCATTATCCTCTGCCTTCTCCTCTCTTCTCTCACAGCGAAGTTTATTGCTCACCTTGGGGCACTCTTGGCTTCCCATCCCCCTTCACACCTTGGCCAACCTAGCACTGAGTTGATTTACAAAAATGGAGCTGAGGGACACAGCTGGAACTAGTGCAGTACAGATCAAAGCTACATAGCAGAGATTGACTGAAAATATCTGTCATCCACAAAACCATCTGAATGGCAATTGTAAGTAAGAATATAAGGATGTTATGTTTGGCCTTGAGAGCTCTTACTACACTGTAAGTTAGTGATTAGATTAGTTTTTCTGCTTTACAGAGAGATGCAGCAGACCAATTAGCAGTCAATTAAGTCAAATCTGATTGTGGGAAGAATTAAAATGGAGAGTGACTTGAGTCCCCTCTAGTATGTCTGAATACAAGACTGATATTTCAGGAAGATTTAGGCCCTGATTTAGGCCTTTTGAAGTCATTTGAGGGTTGTAGTTCAAATTGTCTTCTCTGGACCTAGACCTCTATGAATTTGTGTGCCGCAAAATCATGAGTGAAAACTCCACCATCCAAATGTTCCCAAAAGGAAAACAAGTATCTGAATTTTCTTTTGAGGGGAAACAAGTATCTGGATTTTGTACTGAATATGAGAAAGTTATTTCCATGTTGGAATCTTGAAGCCATTTTAGTTGATCTAAACTGAATATTTTTGAAACTATTTTGTGATTTAATCTTTGGCTTGATCTTTCCATATTTGCTTTTACCTGTTACTGTTTTGGCCAGACCCTTTCACGTAGCAAACTATAAAATAGCACCGTTGTACTATAAAACAGAGATTTTTTTTTTTTACATACTGTTTGATATATGTGTATTATTGATATGCTAAATTTTACATACTGAATTATATGGAGGAAGAAAGAAGTTACCTATACTGTTGCAAAATAATTACCTGGAAGAATCATTAATGGTTTGAGAGCCTGTGTATGCTTTAACTGCTTTTCAAAATCTTTTGTCTCACAAATTGCAATACATTGCATGTTTGCAAGAGAACGAAGAATAAAACTGCCTTAAAACAAATGCATCTATAACCCATATTCTGTCAAAATGCCACAGATTGAATTGATGGATGTTCAGAACTGTCTATGTTACCTTACTGCTGCTGTTACTGGGAATGTCAAACTGTGCAAATAGGAAAGGGGTAGACAAACAATGTTATCAGACACTGTAAAACAAACAGCCTGTTGCTTGTATAGAAGTGCAAATAAAAACCCCACCACTTCGACTAGGCTGCTGAATGACTCCAGCAACCAGTATTCATAGGTTAATTTAGTGCAATCAGATCCATCAAAGGCCCATAAATTTGTAGGCTTTTGAGGGGCACAGGACTTTTAGAGATTTTTATGCAGGACATTTAAAACAGGTTAACAAACAGTAATCTATCAACCACAGAATTTTTAGCTCTGGGCTGGTTAAAATGTTCTCTAAAGACTTAATATTGGAATGTTTAGTTGCATTGTTCACTGGGAGAATGCCCATTGGTTGAGATTGCATCAAGCTTTTTAAACCACTGTTTTTTTTGTAAGTCTTCCAATGTTTAACAAATAATTTATTTACAGCAAAGTATCCTGCAGATGGCACATTCATTCTTCATTCTTGTGGATGGCATGTTCTTACATTCTGTAGTTTCTGCTTCCTGTGTTCCCTCTACTTGTATTCTTCAAATGCACTTCCTGAAGGTTTAGAAAGAGAAAAAAATTATTACAAACAGGTTTAATTATGTTAAATGACCACAGAACTTATAATAGGGGCATAACAGTGGTTCCTTTCTGAGAAATTTCTTCTCCAGAATCATCATTTTGATGAATAATCACAAATAAATGTCACTGGTGGTAGTAGCAGGAACATACACACTAGAAAATGCTTTGACCCACATAACATTTTCAAGTATGCAATGCTGATACTACTGGGGATAAAAAGGTGTGAATGCCTGAATTAGGTTCTCAGACTTGCATTTGTGCCCATATAGAAAAGCATACCTTATCTCTCAAGTCTTTGAGGAAAAGATAATTAGAAATAAAATTGCACCTGTGAGGCTTCCTTTAGTATCGTATCCTCTGAGAAGATGTTCAGACCCAGACAGAGACAATCACCATTTTCAGGTGACAGATGCAAAATGTGAACTCTGTATAAAGTCAGCTCATGAAGAGAGACGTGCAGACTTCTAACCCATCCCACCCAGCCAATGGAACTCTGGGCTGCATCCAAAGGAGTGTGGCCAGCAAGTCAAAAGAGGTGATTTTTCCCCTCTACTCTGCTCTCGTGAGACCCCATCTGGAATACTGCACACAGTTCTGGTGTCCTCAACATCAGAAGGACGTGGAACTGTTGGAGCAAGTCCAGAGGAGGCCACAAAGTTGCTAAGAGCACTGGAGCACCTCTCCTGCGAAGACAGGCTGGGGGAGTTGGGGCTGTTCAGCCTGGAGAAGAGAAGACTGCGTGGAGACCTCAGAGCAGCTTTTCAGTATCTGAAGGGCCTACAAGGGAGCCAGAGAGGGACTCTTTGTCAGGAACTGCAATGATAGGACAAGGGGTAATGGGTTCAAACTGAACGAGGGAAAATCTAGGTTGGATGCGAGAAAAAGGTTTTTCCCTGTGAGGGTGGTGAGACACAGGTTGCCCAGGGACGTGGTGGCTGCCCCGACCCTGGTGGTGTTCAAGGCCAGGTTGGATGAGGCCTTGAGCAACCTGATCTAGTGAGGAGGTATCCCTGCCCAGAGCAGGGTGCTGGGCCTAGATGGTCTGTAAGGTCCATTCCCACCCTTAAATTCTATGACCTTAAGCATGGATCTTTGGAGACAAGGCGGCATTAACATAAGGAGAACAACCACCTCTGTGATAGTAACAGATTTAACTGAGATGGAAGGGGATTGGAAAACATGAAGCAGCATTCTTAGTCTATTAGGACACATATTCAAATCTCATATTAGTGTTAAAAGTTCTCTTGCTTTACTGGTAATAACTGGAAAGTCTAGTGTTTGTAGTAACAGGCATGATTCCTTAGCTAGGAACTCTCTGGGGTCTCTTTGGAAGCTTTGCAGTTCTGTGGGCAGTGTGATCAGTCACATAAGAACACGGCTGGGAAGTAGGCAAGGGGAGAAAATAATGCTCTGACGAGGCCAAGTCCTTCTGTGAGTTAACCTAAAACTTCCCTCCTTGGCTTTGGAGATGTGGCATGACTGCAGGAGAAATTAGGATTGGTGCCATGTGCATGTTTTGGCCTGTAAATGTCACTGTGAGTTGATACTGAGCCAATGACCAAAGAATGTGCCAGTCAGAAAAATAAATGACAAATAATGCAATACTCCTGTTTTCTTAAAGGTGTTTTCCTAAACTAAAAACACTAATATCTTTTCCCCTTCTCTCTTAGTCCCACTCTGTATTTCTTTACATTTTGAAGGTTAGATAAAAGTATTTTTGAAAGAATCTTCTGCATGTTCATATTTGTTGCCGTATATGTTTATGTGTGTTTTCCACATATGAGGAATAAATATAGATAAAAATTATAATTACATATCTTTTATATAACATAACATTCATATTTCACATACATTTATATTTAAATCAATAATTTATATATTTTGTGCACACATTTATATCTAAATATATGGTTGGATATTTACTTCTAGTAAAAGTACATATAATATTTATGTTTACATAAATATATAAGTTGTTTATATAAGTTGTTCATGTAAAATAAATATACATAAAGAAGAATAAGGACTGAAAATCTGAGGAAAAGCAAATTCTATGCAGATGTGCATGTCTTCTGCCATTTTGCTCAGGGAGCGAGGGGATGGCATAGCACTGTGCTCATGACAAGTTCAGGTTGTGCTGAGGTGGTTTAGATTGGATATTAGGAAAATTTCCTTCATGGAACTTTGTGTCAAGCACTGGAATTGGTTGCACTGGGAAGTGTTGGAGTCACCATCACTCGAGGTATTTAAAAGACCTCTGGACGTGGCACTTAGGGACATGGTTGAGTGGTGGCCTTGGCAATGGTGGGTTGATGGTTTAACTCAATGATCTTAGAGATTTTTTTTCATCTTAAATGATTGCATGATTCTTTTTTTTTTCAATTTTATTTCCCTCTTTACTGGATTTTAAAATCAGCCTTACTTGTGTTCACATTCATATAGGAGTTTTCAAGGTTCCTTGTAACCTTATATTGGTCTGAACTTTATGCCATTGGTTGTGTGTCACTGCTTCATCTGAGAGGGTCACAGTCTTCCCTCACACAGACAGTTGTTGTGGAGACAACAGTTATTTCCTTTGCTAGAACAATTGTTTCACAAATTTTTACTCACCAGTTTTTAAATGGTTGTTAAAACTGAATTCACTTAAGGGTAATCGACTAAATTTTTATGAGCATTTTGCAGAAGAGAAAGAAATGAATGAAAGAAAAGCTAGATGGGACCATGACACTGAAGAGAGAACCTTAACTTTCCTTCTTGCTCTTGTTTTGCAGTTTAAAACTCTACTTATAAACTTAGTGTAAAAATAGATGAAACCATGAGTTTGCTTTCCAGCACAAATACTGAACATTTCTCCCTGGTTTTGCTCCTGTCTTACTAGGTGAGGTACTTGCTCATTAAATCACATTTTAATCTGTAAGCAATGTCAGGATTCAGTTTCATAGTTTTAGGTTAAACAAACCAACCTTGGTCTGTAATGTGCTTTGGTTTCACCCCTGTTCTCTGTGTTATGAATTCAGGGACATCTCTCTGGAGTGTAGAAATGATGACATATGTTTGAGTTGTATCCTCTTTAATAACCTTTGCTCTGATAACTGACTACAACTGGGGTAGGATTTTATACCGGATTTCTACTTCCAGGGTTTAATCAGTTCTGGTGAGATGAATGCCTAAGTATCTCTCATTTTTTAACAGTAAGAATGCTACAAAAGCTTTAAACAGAGTGTTCAAATAGCAAGTTAAAAAAAGGCAGACTTTGGGTGAGCAGAACTACTGAGCAACCAGTAAATAGGTGAACAAGAGATCCTGCAGGTTGATAGGATTTCTTCTTTTTTGTTCTCTATTTTTTTCTTTTGTGGCCCTGTAAATTATGCTGTGTATATAATACACCTAAGTGTGTAATAAAAATGACAGGACAAATGGTCTTATAAAATCTTTTGTTTGCTAGCTACTAACAAAACTCTACACATACATCCTCTGTAATTGGAGAGAGAATGGATTGGGTTAGGACTGGTTCTTGATGCTGGCCTTATAGCAGCAAATAGGCATTTTTGGGGTTGTCATATTAACCACTCAGTGCTTGTCTTGTCATTCAAATTAGTGTAAGTAGTGTAGTAACTTACATTTGTAATGTGATGACTGCAGGTGTGCAAAATGTGGGCTACAAACAGAAGAAGAGCTCTGCTCCATTAAACTAAGACGTTCTACCAAACTGGTCATAGGAAGAATCATAGAATCAACTGGGTTGGAAAAGACGTCCAAGATCATCAAGTCCAACCCTACCATGGTTACTAGACCATGGCATGAAGTGCCACATCCAGTCTTCTCTTGACAACCTCCAGGGATGGTGAATCCACCACCACATTCCCGGGCAGCACATTCCAATGCCTGATCACTCTCTCCATAAAAAATCTCTTCCTAATATCCAACCTAAACCTCCCTTGGCAGAGCTTGAGTCTGTGCCCTCTTGTCCTCCTGCTGGTTGCCTGGGAGAAGAGACCAACCCCCACCTGACTCCAACCTCCTGTCAGGGAGTTGTAGAGGGTGAGAAGGTCTCCCCTGAGCCTTCTCTTCTCCAGGCTGAGCAACCCCAGCTCCCTCAGCCTCTCCTCATAGCACTTGTGCTCGAGTCCCTTCACCAGCCTTGTTGCTCTTCTCTGCACCTGCTCCAGCACCTCAATATCCTTCCTGAACTGAGGGGCCCAGAACTGAGCACAGGATTCAAGGTGTGGCCTCACCAGTGCTGGGTGCAGAGGAAAGAAAAAGGATCTGCTCAGGGAGCTGGGTATGTAAGCCACTTACTTAAACCCTGAAACCACATAAACCAAAACCCAAATCCTGAATTTATCATCTAAAAAGGCTTTGAGGAGATACTAAATAAAGACTATATCAGACATATGAAAGGAATAGGAAACCAACTGGTTGTGAAATCTAAGAGTAACTGTACAACATCTGATATATTCCACTTAATCCTACATATATCTTGCATCTAAATAAGAACATTTTAAAGATGTTGTATATGTTATCCTACATATATATAGTTTCACTCTTCATGATTAAGATATCTCATATATAACCTATAATATTGAGAGAAAAATATTCTAAAGCAGAAAACAATTGCTTAATAGAAAAATAGTTTGTCTTTATCATCGCTATTTTTAAAGTAAAATCAGTGATATATCGACTCTCTGAACTAGCTAAATGCCTTTACATTGAGGGGGCCTGTCCGGGGTAAGTATAAACACAGTTGTTTTTGTTAATGGAGGCACATATAGCTGACTGCAGAAAGAAAAGAGAAAGAAAAAAAAGTCAGAGTTTTTCCTAGTGAACTGTGCTTCTCTACTTTTCCCTTCCCTGTATTTTCCTTTTATCCATCATAAATCTGAATTTCTCCTACCCCTTCTATATTTTTGTTTCCTCAATCTAATTTTCTCCATCCACAGATAAAAATGAAAATTTCAGTTTGTTTTTCCCATCAGATTTCTGTTGTTTTATTGCCAAGTTCTCATCAAGAAACTCTCTCCTCCTTTTCACATGCAATTTCTTTAAAGGTGTTGTTTTGTTTAGTGTTGTCTTTTCTCTAATTTTATTTTCTCTCCCTTTTTCTCAAAATTTCATCCTTTCTGTGTGATACACCTTGGGTCATTGAGTTACTCAATATTATACATCTTCTCAGCCTCTTTGATCTGATTCTCTCCCTTTCTTTTCTTGTGGTCCTCATTGTCCTTTCCTTTCCATTTCCACCTCTCAATTTTTACTCCTTTTAATTTCCTGGATAATTTTTGCTGCATTTTGCTAATTTTAGGCTCACTCAATTACATATTCCCTCTATTTTTTTACTTCTTCCAGTACCTCTCTTGACCAACACCTCCTCTGATGCTGCAGAAAGATGCAAGGCCTTTCTTCTGGTCCTTCCTGTTTGTAAGAACTGTGTTTTCCTGCCTATGTTTTGGAGTGGGAGGTGGATAGCTGCCTAAAGAATGACATCATTCCTTAGTCCTCCAAGGAAAGCGGTGTGAAGATCCATCAAAGAGCTGGCAGGTATTTGTCTCCTTTGCTTGACTGGTTTACTCATCACCTTAGCAACAAGTATGGGAAGGAGCTCACAGATTCCTGGCCAAGCCTGTTTCCTTCTTTTCCAGCAAGCCTTAAATATATGTGTGCCCAGATAAATAAACCACGGGGTTTTCTTGCCTATAGTTGAGCTCTGCCTGAAGAAGTCTTCATTTGCTGCCCTTTGTGCCCTTTGAGATGTTATTGGCTGAAGTGACACTTCCCAGGAAGAATCATACAGGTACTGCTTTAAAAGTTTGAAAACTCTGGAGGAAAAGGTGAAAGGGTTCCATTCTGTTGATGGAGTTATGGAAATGAATGGATACTGAAATGATTACAGTTGTTCTTTTCATAAAAGAAATTAATATACAGCACTGGTTTCCTGACTTCCTATGAAATCTTAGGTTTCCATGCAGTACCATTTCTTGTAAGCAAAAGTTTTCAGGTGAGTAAAGGAGTGGGATGAGCACATGTGTAGGACAGACAGGGTCAACAGCAGTAAAATAAATCACTGGAGGTTTAGAGCAGAAGACAGATAACATGTAAAACAGATGTTCAGAGTTCAAACAGGAGAGACAGTTGGACATGAGCTTAATTGTAGCTTAGTTTAAGATTGGTTTTCTGACTTACAGGCTCTGTAGATATATACATATGTGCAGCATATCTAGTATCACAGGAACAAAAATATGGATACTCAGAACTCCACAACTGTATAAATAATATCAATCAATACTTGGAGTGCTTGGAGAATACACATATTAATCACTGAATAGTTAAAATGAAGTAAGCAATGGTTGCAGTGACTATCCAATTTAATTTAGTTCTGACAAAAAAAAAAAAGGCCAAATTCATGAAGAAAGAAAAACATTTTTTCTTCTACATGTAAAATGTACAGCAGAAGTGCTGAGTTTTTGTTCTTGAGTACTCACTCTACCTCTTCCTGAAAGGGAAGGAGGAGCAAGAAATTCTGGATAGAGCAGTTGTTAAACATTCAGTGTTTGGTTTCTCTTCTGAAAGAAGTCGTAGGTGTTATTTATGACTGAATGACGTGAGTACTTCTCACTTACTACCCAACAGCAGGATAAAGCCTCACAACTCCTAGCTTAACAATTCCATGTTTTATTCAGTGTTCTAAGAGATGAGGTGGAACACACCATTTCCTACTTATTTCCTACCACGGAGACTGTTTTCCAAAACTCCACTAAATTTGGAGGCAGAGCACATCTAGGGATCTTTTGGGTTCATCAGGGGTTTTTTTGCTAATTATTTTGTTTGGTTTGGTTGTTGGTTGTTGTGTTTGGGGTTTTTTTTCCCCAGCCTGGCCTACCTTTTGTGCTTTTGGCATATCAGTGTGGCGCTGAGCACGTACAGACCGTGCTGATTTTGGTGGCTTGATTGGAGCACAATACATCTCCAGCCTCCTCAGGTCACAACTCTGGAAGCAGCATTCATCCACTATTCCCTTGTGGTGTAAGCGTCTACTGCTGGATCCATACCCTGTGGGCTTACCTATGCAAAACACAAAGGGAAAGGTTTTATGTTAGGAAGAAAATGCAAAGACATTTTTTATGGAGAGAGTAGTAGTTGGAATGTGCTGCCCAGGGAGGTGGTGGATTCACCATCCCTGGAGGTTTTCAAGCTGAGACTGGATGTGGCACTTGGTCTAGTAACCATGGTAGGGTTGGACTTGATGATCTTTGAGTTCTCTTCCAACCCGGTTGCTTCTATGATTCTATGATCTGCAAATTCAAAAGCTTGAGGGAAGCAGGAAATAAGGTAACAGAGGAACTGATGAAATGCAGCAAAAATAGGAAGGTGGTTGATGGAACAGATAAAAGCAGAATATTTTATATTCCATAGCTTTGCAAAGGGTAGGAAATGGGATTACCATAACACAGCTTTCCTGTGTTTGGCATTCACCCTGGGCATCTGTAGGAACTACTTAATTGGCAAACATTTCGCATTTATCACTCACCTCCAGTGGAGGTTGCATTTTCATTCATAGAGTTCTTACACTCTTGCAGTTCTGTCTTTTCTCCCCAGTGGTTTATGATTTCCTTAGTAACTGCTGATTTCTCTGCTGTACTATGCAGAGATTAAAGACCCAATATTTCCTGGGCTTGTTTGCATGCAACCCAGTTGAGTGTGTGGTTGCTCTGTTGTGAATAACTAGATATGAAGGAACAGTAAAATTCGCAAAAAAATAGCCAGTTGCTTACTTACTACATCTCTTTTCAAATTCTGGTAGAATTTGATTTCAGACAGCAAAATTCTGAAAAGATTAAGTGTTTTGTTTTGACATTTTCAGCAATAAAGATTTCCATTTGCAGAAAGATCCACATTGGTTAAGAACCGAAAAATATGGAAAAAAAAGGAAAGAAAATTGCACCAAGAGCCAAAAAGTGAGGTAATTCAATTCAGTCAGCTCTACTAATTTTTTTCTTGCCTTTTTTTTTTTTTTCTTCCTTCAGTTTTATCACTGAGACCAAAAATCTGTTATTCACAGAGTTTGGCAGGAGTTTATATTTTAAGAGTTACTCAAGCTAGATAAAGGACAAGAGTATCAAAAATAAGAAAATTCAGTTTCTCTTTGAAAAATTATTGCCCCCAATGCTTATACAGCAAATTCTAGGTGGATATCCATCTACTTGACCTGCAGTGGTCAATTTGAAAAGCTGCTCCCTGTAATTAAAACATATATCCACTGATGAAGGATCATTGAGGCCTCAGAACATCAGTAAATGAAATGACCTCTCGTGGTAAAGTATGTTTCATGTTTTAGCCAGTGATAGAACCATCTAAGAATTAACTATCCCTGTGAGCTCCAATGACAGACAATAGGATTTTGGGATGTTTTTTACCTCCAAGGGACTATAAATTAAACAAAAAGCAAAACATACTTAACATATTGCAATGCACTGACGATCTCTATATTGTTCATGGCTTGCTATATAATTGGTTTTGTAAGACTAAACAGGACAGCAAGACAGGAGACGGTTACAGTAATACTTTGTCTGTGTGTGTGTTGTTTTACATGGATCAGTGAGAAGGATTATAAACAGCAAGACATAGAGTTTTGGGGTCTTTTTCCCCCACTATTTTCCCCTCACTGAGTTATAATATAAGGTACAAACTTTCTCCTAGAGTTTGTCAATCTGATTGTTTTAGCCTAATACTTTTAAAATTTAGCATTCATGACAAAATAGGGAGTGTCATTACTTTGTAGGATACTCAGAACTGCCACAGTTTGTCTTGCTCCCATTTAAAGGATGGAAGTGCAGATTCCCTTCCTGGATATGCAGGTCTAACTCTTCCTAATAGATCCAGATGAGCTATAGGTACAAATAAATCATTAGTTAAGCTTCCCTTTCTTTTCTCAATCTCCCAGTTTGTTATAAGCAAAAATACCCTAAAAGCTTCTGTTCAAAAATTTACTTTTAAATGGTATTTCACAGCATCTAACACACATAGAGTTTAGTTGATAATAGTGTTAACAGTAAAAATCTTAGAATCATAGGATTTTAGGGGTTGGAATGGACCTTAGAGATCATCGAGGTCCAAGCTCCTGCCCTGGGCAGGGACATCTCCCACCAGACCAGATTGCTCAAGGTGTTATCCAACCTGGCTTTGAACACTGCCAGGGTTGGGTCATCTACTACATCCCTGGACAACCTGCAGATAAGGATGGACAGCTCATTACTTAATTCCATCTGGCTTATGATGATGTTTGAGTCTAATGCAATTGAAGATTTCAGGGTTAGTAATATTTTGTAATTATAAAAATCTTAGACATGTGAGGTCCTCATGATATTTCTGCTAAACAGAGAATCCTACCTCTAGGGTACAAAATTTAGAGTCAATGAGATGATATGTATTGGCCAGGAACTGCTGTGAGTTAACATCAGTACTTGAGAGAAGAAATCTTCCTTCCATGAATAGCAAAACTATATATGTTTAATGACTGATAGTGGCATTTTTTCATGGGATCTATTGGTATCCAATGTTGCTATAAAGGAAAATGTCAAATGAAAAGTACAGTTTGCAAGGGCTCAGAATTTTGTTGCTTGTTATGGTTAACATTCAGTTTCGTCAGGATTAAAGCTGAAGAGGAACAGGTTGGCATAGGTGTCCTTTCATCTCCTTTAACTATCTGTACAATCTTTCTGTGCTGAGCCTGTACATACCATTGTTCTTATTTTGCCATTTTAAAATGCATCTCAATCATAGAATCTGATGCTTTCTTTCTTTAATCATTTTTTACTCAAGACATAAGATACAACAATGCCATGTTATGTAGCATTCTTTCAGTTTAGCAACAGTTCTTGTAGGGAGTTTATGACACTGATAAATGCAGTCATTTCAACAGGCAAATGTTTGATTTTCCTTTGATGGTACATAAAGTAGAGTAATTTTACTCTCATACTCTCATTACTGGAGTAATTTACTCTCATATCATCATTCATTTATTTGTGTGTGAAGCCATCCCAATAAGTCAAGCAGGAACTTACACAACATTTTTTTTAGCTGGAAGTTGTCAGTTCTGAGTTTTATTCTCACCTATTTATTATCTTGTTGGATGAATTCATGAAAGTTATTATACTCTTTGGTGTCTGAACTTAACCATTTATGAAGCTGATAAAATACCTCCAATAACCTATGAAGCTTTGCTGCCTTATTTAGTAATCAGGAGCAACATTTCTCCTCACTATCATATGCACAAAGAGTTAATCCAAATCCTGACTCCTGGAATCTTTCTGGTGAAAATTTCAGTGTGCTTCAACATTATTTTTAGTGTAGCCAGACCAAAACCAGCTATGTGTTATTTTTCTTTCTGAGAGAATAATGACTTTATGTAGGATGATATAACATCTAATAGCTCTTTAAAAAGACTATGTGGTGCATGTAACAAGTTTAGAATGGAATCACTAACACCTCAGTGATGTGTTCAGTAATAAAACATGAGATTTATTTATAGAAACATAAATATTGACATTAACAAACACAATATTTATTTAATATAAGTAAAGTCTTCCTGTGTCACATGATGCACTAAATGCTTGTCATTCATAGAAAGTTAACACTAGTATTGTGAGGTAAAATGTTGGGGTTTTTTTCTTTTAAAAAAATGTGTTTCCAAGGGTTTTGAAAGACTTAAACAGTCAAGTACACTTCAAATTTTTGTTACATAGAAAGCGATATTACCTAAAGTGCTGTACAACAGAGAGCAAATTAAGAGGAATAAAAATATTCTTAGTGATCATGATTCTGGACTCTACTTTTGAGAAGTGTCTGATGTCTACAGTAAATTTAAACCAATGGATTTTAAATTGCTGCTGTTCCTCCTAAATGCTGCAGTGTACAAAGATGCTATCGCAGAGAAAGATGAGATAAAGAATTACAAGGAGATCCTACCACTTCTACAGATACTATCAGTACTTGGTCAGTCTGCCTCTGGCAGAACTGCAGGGTCAGATGGTCCCATGTCATCGTTACCAAAGTATGCATTTAGATCCAGGCAGATGTTCAAACTCCTACATAGTCTGTTGGACTAAAGCACATATTAAACAGTGAGGACACGCCTGAGTGCCCTCCTGGATAGGGGCTGATGTAACTAAGCACTTAAGTTGATTTCTAAACCGAAGTACGTATTAGTAGATAAATGGCTGCTGGTTCTGCATTTTTAATATGATTTCTGCTCTTTTATTTTTAATTTTTCATAATATTGCATTCAGTATTGACTGGACCTTCTGTGTTAGTATGCCCACATAGTTCTTTCTCATCTTTCTGGCATAGTTGGAGTGCAGCCTTCTAGCTGTTATTAAAAAGTTTCTTATATTTACTCAACCTTCAAAGTGCTGCCTATGGACATACAGCAGTCCTAGGCATTCCTTTTTGCTGATGTACACTGATTGCCTTGGAGGTTTCTTTCATTTTTTGTCAGTTGCTAGCTCAAAATAATATCATATAGGTCAAAGTTTACCTAACAGCATATTTGTCTCTCATTTATTCTACTCTATCACACATGTGAATGTTTTTTTCAATGTGCAACAAGCAGATATGAAGTCTAGTCACACTGTGCCGAAGTGCCCTGAATTCCAAGAGTTAAACAGTTGCTTGTGGACTGATAGCACTTCCTTTTAAATCATGCTAAGTCAGTGGGACTTGTTTGCACTTGATTTCTCAGTTCCTGCCCATCCCTCCAAACTACCTTAGGTGGACGCATAGGTGGACTACAGAAAGTTTCAAATGTCAAGCTGTCGAACCATAATCTTAGAATCATAGAATCAACTGGGTTGAAAAAGACCTCCAAGATCATCAAGTCCAAACTGTATGAGAAACAGCCAGGGTAAACACAAAGCTAATCTACTCTTTAGGGTACTCTAGGAAGAATTGCGGTTGTGTGTCCTGGAACTTTTATGTGAGAAGCTCTATTTGCTGCACATAGTGCTCTTTTTAGCCAAGCAGTAGAACCTAAGAATGCCACGTAGCCTGTAATTCAGAAATACATC